AACCAATCCACGAAATTGCGCAATCATCTTCCATTTTACTGAGGCAGATACCTGTCTCTACTCAACATGGATTAACTCCACTGGTCACGGCTTCTCACTAGAACGCCGAGAATTCCCTCACAAAGCTAGTCACTAGTGAGCATATATTAATTACTAGTATAGGGATTGTGGAGATTATTAAGTTTTTGATTGAGATCATGAACCAATTGATGTTAGACCATCTGGAATTTCATTGTTTATCACAATCCAAATATTCTAAGATAAAGAATAATTAAAGGAGTGTGAAATAAAATCAAGGAATCAATGTTTATGTCTTATAAATATTTAAATCATAAGAATACACCTTAAACATTGTTAATTTATGAAATTAGAATAAGGTTGCTTCATGTTTCTAATTAAATTTTATTACAAATATAAATCAATAAATTTCACTTCTGTCATCCAAAAGTTGAACACTTTTCACAAGATTTCAAGGATTCAATCCCTTTTGATGGAATTGTATATGAGGACTACTGTGGAACAGTATTGTACAAAGATGATACAGCTGTAAAATGTTTCCTGATGTATGTTTGATAAGGTTAGTTCATAATTTTTTTTACAAATTTCTTATGATAACAAACTGGTGTCTGCAGTTCTACTGTACGGAGCTGAAATATAGAGAACTACTACAACCATCATCGAGAAGATACAAGTATTTATAAATGGTTGTCTATACAAGATACTCAACATTCATTGGTCGGATACCGTTAATAACAGCCTACTGTTGGAAAGAACAAACCAGCTTCCAGCTGAAGAAGAAATTAGGAGAAGACGATGGAAATGGATAGGACATACATTACGCAAATCGTCAAACTGCATCACGAAGCAAGCCCTAACTTGGAATCCTGAAGGGAAGAGGGAAAGAGGAAGGTCAAAGAACACATAGCGTCGGTAAATAGAAGCAGATATGAAAAGAATGAATGACAACTGGAAAGAGCTAGAAAAGATTGCGCAGGACAGAGTTGGATAGAGAATGCTGGTGAGAGGCGTATGCTCCTTCACGAGGAGTAACAGGAGTAAGTAAGTAGGTAAGTAAGTAAGTAAATAAGTAAGTAAGCAAGTAAGTAAATGTTTACAGTAATGAAACTTTATTTCGTCATTGTACTACATATTATCATTGGATAAACAATTTACGGATGATTAAGTAATTAAATTATAACTTTAATAACTTTACTACCTCTACCACTACGAGATTTGAATCGAAAACTGTATTTCTCTTTTATTGTGGTATGGCAATTCGAACTGATATTCGTACGTACGAAATTCTATTTTGTTACTGACTGACTGATTGACTGAACTTTAATTTGATATTTCTTGTAAATTAAATACACCGACGTTTAATATGACACTAAGAAATGTCAAGTGACAATCCTTGCAACCTAAACTGTGGAGAGTAAACATAATGAAACTGTTTATTTAAATTCAATAGCTGATCATAATAATCCGTTATACATTTTGTCTCCAAATAAAGTACTAACGTACATTTCAATATTAGTTTAACATTAATAAAAGAAAGTTGTTGAAATGTTAGCTAGTTGGAGGTAATCAGTTGAATACCCTGCTCGACTTTGGTTTTTTTATTATGCTAGTTGACAATTGTCAGCACAAAACACGGCGACACTATAATTTATGAATGAACCAATCCTTTCGTAACAAAAACTATAAATCTAATGTCTAAACCTACTCATCAAATGTAAATCCTAATTCTAATTTCTCACGCTGGTTTATAATCCTCATTTGGTTCTAGTTATTAGGTGGATACTCTCAAGATCATTTTAACATCTCTCAAATGTTGTCTATAAATTATAGTCTCACCGAAAAATAAACATACCACTTTCATAGTCCTTCATAAGTTTCACAGTATTTAAGTTGTACTCTATTTATTGAAGCGACTATACATATATATATATGTTTAACGGGATTATTAAATGAAGGGGAATTTAATAAATAGGAATTTATGACCATTTAGAAAGAATGTTAGTTTAGTCGTTTGAATAGACCGACTTACTTTCGATATAGTGACAGTAACTTAATAAGATACCTGGAGTTATTTATCTCTAAAGTGTTCAAGATTTCCCCGATAAAATAAGATGATGCATAGCCTGTTTGGTTTTATGATTTTTATCCAGATTCACAACTTTAGTAATATTGAAAAAATTCACTTATTATATAAAGGTTTGTTAATATATTTCTAAAATTAATAGTTGAATTCATGAGTCGATTTAAGCTAGACCATCATGGGAAACCTGAATGCATTGGATAAACGTTTCGTTCTGAGATAGAACTATTCAGAAGTGCGTATCCATGATCCTGCACGCGGGAGTCGAATCCAGGATATTTGGTCTCGTCGCATGAAAATACCTAACCTAACTAGAATAATGAGCTGGCAGGAATACAACCATGTTAATGTCTAACTTCAATCAATTCTGAACTATAATTTACCGGGTAATTGTGTCTTTTATTAATTTCTACATCACATATTATTAGTTCCATGATTAGTTCTGTTTCAAGACATAAGCATATGTTTCAGTAAAAGTAAAATAACCTTAAATATATTCAAATAACTTTCTAAAATGAATAGAGAAACAGGTTCGTGAATAGTCGGAAATCATCATGAATGAATATACTATGGGCTCATATTTATACACTATTCAAATGCTTCAAACTAGAATGAGACAGCTATTGATTAGTCATTTACATGTCAATGCCAAGACTGAACTTGATACTTTCAAACAAATTGAGTATTGGATGAAACGATAATATTAATAATCTATATGTATTTCATATGTATTACATCACAATGAATGAAATAATTGTATTCCCGATGTTTCGTAACTTCATGTAAGCTACTTCTTCAAAGTAAATAAATAATTGAATTCTACTCTGAAGAAGTAGCTTACATTAACTTACGAAACGTCGGAAATACTATTTTTCTACTCATTGGAATATAACAAAGAATATTTATTATTGAATGATTAGCAGTTTTGTAACACATAACAAAACATAAAGGAAGCTAGAATTGGAATAATCATGAAGAACGTAGAGAACAATTGATGGAAGTTTACAAATGAAGTATTCAATGTATGGTTTTTACTTTTTATAAAAAAGTGGTTGTCACCAGCTGAGTTCTCGTCCACTACAATGCTAACGTGCATAACTTAATGTAGTTAAGTATATTGTACTAAAACACATTTATAATCAATAGTTATAATTAGTCACTAAAATTTTAGCAAGTCAAGATTGATTTGGACAACTGGTTTAAGGATTGAAATTCGATGTTTTATACAAATGAGATACAGTTATGGCATGAGATGTATTTTAGTGTGTGCTATTGATGTCGACAGATATAAGTAGTATGTAACATCAAGTGAATATGAAATGCCTGATAGGAGAAAGTTAAGAAGATCGAATTAAAAAGAGAACGAGAACAGAGATTGGTCGATATGGAAGTGAAAGAACAATGAAGTGTGAGACGATTGATTAACATTTTACACATCAAGTGTTCATTGTAAAGTTCTCAGAGTTCACTTAGAAATTCCATAATTTTGTGTCTGAATACATTTGGTTATTTCCATTTGTGTTCTTTGTTCACTACAGTATGATAAAGAATTTAAGTATAATGTAATGACTTTCTTTCTTCACTCACAATTATAGTAAACACTGAATAATATCTAAAGCTGACCATTGTTAGATTATAAATGAAAATTTACATTTCTAAGTTAGACCACATATCGAAGTATAATGTCCTATAGTCAATGAAGATGGGGTAAGGGATCCATTTAGGTTCACTTTGTATATTTGTTGTGGGAAAAAAAAGAGACACCCCTGTAATAAATGCTTTACACTGGTCATTTATGAAGTCATTTTTGTACAATGATACAACTGTGTAAATATTTCAAAAGATTTACAAATTAGTATTAAAAGAGATTTTGTGGATATTATAGTAATTTTAATGGTTAAGATCATGAGTCAATTGAAGCTAGACCACCATGGAAGACCTATTGTTGGACACTTTAGCATTGCGCAGTAGGACTAAACAGCCATCCAATGCTTCCAGGTTTTCCATAGTGGTCTAGTTTCAATTGACTCATGATTTTAATCATTAGATTTAGAAATTGTTTGATAAGCTAGTAAGCTACCTCATTTTAGAAACCATAAATGAGAGATTACAATATCTTTTTTATGATTGCAAAGAACTGTACAACTAGAATCATGTTCATCAGTGCAAAGATACCATTTTATAGATTGAACCAAATCAGTAACCGTTTAAAGACAAACAATTAGAATAATTCATTTAGAACATTGAAACATAATGTAATGATACATCACGGAAAGTAAACCTGTTTAAGTCGTGAATATAGTAGTTTATATTACTAATTTCATGGTTCATTAGCTCATTGAATCTATCTGTATATAGACATATGAATAGTAAATTTGTTACAATCAATGAATATAAAGTTGACTAATCAAGAAATTGTGACAAACATTTTGACAAACAACAGTTATTACCTAATGAATTCATTTGATATTGTTTACTTGAATCGTTTCGTTAATGTTCAGGATTGATCAATTGATCAGTCTCTTACTGACATATATATGCATCCTGTGTGTATTACCTTGATATTACTTTAATTCACAAGGATTATATGCAAAGGTGAATAGTAGTAAAATAAATGATGTCAATTGAATTTAAACTTCACTTTATTGCACAAGCAAGTGGCTATCAGCACTCAGTACCGAATTACATAACACGATGGCGTTTGAAATGAACAGTACTGAGTTTATGTCCCAGAATGAACATCAACTCGTGAGATGCAGATACATCCAGCTGACGAGTCTCAACGAGGACGAAACATGAGTCCTAGATTCCATTGCTAGCCATTATTCATCTTTGCACATAATAATTATTACTTAACAGTTTATATATTAAAACAATAAAACGAATAAATTTGCTCACTTACACCTTTTCCTATTCTCTTCTCAATTTCATAACGTTTCAATATATGCGGTTCAAGTTCTGATGACATGAATAACAATATCCAATATATAAAATTATATACATCAATATAGTAGATTCTAATTATATAATAATAATAATAATAATTTACATTAGAATGATCATTCATTCTATTGACTATTCATTGAAAATTGATTGGACAAGGTCATTATCCATACAACTGCGTTCTCATTGGTTTAAGATATTCAAGGTTATATTATGTAATGTTGATTGGTTGTAAAAATTTGTTTCTCTTTTCAAATTTTACTTTTAGATTTGATTTATTTATCATTATTTTTATTCATTTTAGAAAATTAAATTCTATTTCATTAGATTGTTATTCAATAAGCAAAAAATGGATAGTAGTGAATAGTAGAATCTTATTTAGGATTAAGTCAGCTGGATGTATCTACATTTCAAAAAAATTGATTTTCCTTTATAGAAACTGACGCAGAATATTTGGAAGATGTAAAAACCTCCACATATCTGGACAGCATCATTGTTGAGCACGGTCGATCTGATGCAGATCTGGAGGCGTGGATCGGAAAAGCAATAGCAGTATATTTAATATTGAAGAATATCTGGAACTCAAAACAACTGTCAACCAACAACAAGGTCAAGATTTTCAATACAAATGTCAAAACATTTCTACGGTATGGGACGGAAACCTGGAGAACTACGAAAGCCATCATCTACAAGATACAAGTGTTTATTAACAGTTGTCTATGAAAAATACTTCGGATCTGTTGACCAGACAATATCAGCAATAACCTACTATAGAAGAGAACAAACCAGATTCCAGAGGAGGAGGAAATCAGGAAGAAGCGATGGAAGTGGATAGGGCACACACTGAGGAAGGCACCAAACTGCGTCACAAGACAAGCCTTCACATGGCATCCTCAAGGTCAAAGGAAGAGGAGTGGAAGACCAAAGAACACATTACCCTAAGAAATGGAGACAGACATGAGTAAAATGAACAAGAATTGGATGGAACTGGAAAGGAAGGCCCAGGACAGAGTGTGTTGGAGAATGCTGTTCGGTGGTCTATGCTCCACTGGGAGTAAAAGGAGTGAGTATGTAAGTAATCAAATGTAACATAACAGGTCTGTGATTTTGGCGCAAAATTCATTCATTCATTTTGGTTAAATACAGTCTTGACATTATAGCTGTGATATCAGTTCATGATGAAAAACCGTAAATCTAATTCATAACTTTTAACCATCAAATGAAATTCTAATTCTAATTCCTCACATTAATTTATAACATTTATTTGGTCCTAGACACTTTTAAGGTCAGTCTAACTTCACTCAATGATTGTTCATAAATTCTAGTCTCATTGAACAAAATAAAACTAACGAATTTCACTTGCACCTATTCTTCCATGATTTATACAACTATTCAAGTGCATAACTATATTAATCATTGTTCATATCAATGGTTGATGTGCATCTAATTATATTCTTATTGTTCAACAATTGTATAATTCCGAAAATAATTTAAAGCGGATATCAGTGAATTTAAAGAGGTAAATGATTTGTAAGAGAAAGGAGTGATATTATATTGGATCAATTCAAAAGTACAATATATTGTTACAAGTCGGAATTAATTTGATAGTGCAACAGCTGAATCAACGTCTGCATCAATAGGCCTCAACATACACAAGGAAAAAACCAAGGTCCTCAAATTCAAAACGGAGAACGGTAATTCAATCACTTTTGATGGCGAAACTCTGGAAGATGTAGAATCCTTCACGTAGTTGAAAATCATCATCGATGAACAAGGAGGATCTAATGCAAACGTAAAAGTGAGGTTCGGAAAAGCAAAGACAGCATTCCGATAATTGAAAAACATATCCAACTCAAAAAAACTTTCAATCAATATCAAAGTCACAATCTTCAATACGAATGTCAAGACAGTTCTACCATACTGAGCTCAAACTTTGAGAACTAGTACAACCATCATCAAGAAGGTACAAGTATTTATAAATAGTTGTCTACGCAAGATACTCAATATCCATTGGTCGGATACCGTTAGGAACGGCCTACTGTTGGAGTGAACAAACCAGCTTCCGGCAGAAGTGGGAATTAGAAAAAGACATTGGAAGTGGATAGGACATACATTACAAAAATTACCAAACTGCATCACGAGGCAAGCCCTGACTTGGAATCCTGAATGAAAACGGAAAAGAGGAAGGTCAAAAACACATTACATCGGTAAATAGAAGCAGGTATGAAAAGGATGCATAAAAACTGGAAAGAGCTGAAAACCATTGTCCAGGACAAGGTTGGATGGAGAGTGCTGATGGGTGGCCTATGCTCCTCGGTGAGGTGTAACAGGCGTAAGTAATTAAGTAACGTTATACTATGAATGGGATACAGTTAACATATTTAAATCGTTTACTATATATTGTATCATTTACAAAACCTTCAGTATACCAGGTTCGAGATTCAAGGGTGAATATTTTTGTAGAGTGCTGAAATTAAAAGAAACGAGCATTCATTGATTTATTATTATCATTTCAAAGTTCTCTTATATACCCAAGATAATGGAGGGCAAGTTATTCTCGGATATTTTTCGTAGCTTGAATTAAATATATAGATTAGTTAACATCTTACACACACAACTTTTTATTCCAAATTTGACGATTGTTCAATGTAAATAATAATCAGATATATAAGCGAAAATGGATGATAGCCAGTAATGGATTTCAGAATGTGCGTTTCGTCCTATTTGGGACTCGTCAGCTGGATGTATTTTCATCTCAGGGTTAATATTCATTCTAGAACTTGAACCCAGTACCGTTTGCTTCAAATGCCATCGCGTTATCCACTTACCTACATAGGGCAATATCGAAGAAATACACACAGTATGCACATATCTCATTAAGTTACTGATTAATTGATCAGTCCTAACCAACAATCGGAAGATAAAAGTAAACAGTACCAAGTGAATAATCAGATTATTAGATTCTGTTTCATATAAAAGTTAATCTGAGTTTTTTTTTAACTCAAAAATAAATCTTTCATTTCTCTTTGTTTAATCGAGATGATCATCAACACAGTTACATCATCATTATAAACAGCAGTTGAATTATTAACGTATTTTATTCATTATCACTTTTCATTTTCATAATTCCATAGGTTCTAGTGTTAGGTATGGGATTTGAACCTACGCCTACAGAGTGGACTATGATTTGGACGCAGCGCCATAGACCGCTCAGCCATAGGTTAAGAAAAGTATAATCTTAATAACAATTTCATTCAGTGATGTACCTTTTATAGAGGTAAGGGATTCTTAATACTCTATTTAACATACATCTAAAGTGTAATTATTCGAGAATTACATTCTGTTATATCCTTACTTACTTACTTACGCCTGTTACTCCTCGTGAAGGAGCATAGGCCACTCACCAGCATTCTCCATCCAACCCTGTCCTGGGCAATCCTTTCTAGCTCCGTCCAGTTGTAATTCATCCTTTTCATATCTGCTTCTATAATCCGACGCAATGTGTTCTTTGGCCTTCCTCTTTTTCGCCTCCCTTCAGGGTTCCAAGTTAGGGCTTGCCTCGTGATGCAGTTTGACGGTTTGCGTAATGTATGTCCTATCCATTTCCATCGTCTTTTCCTAATTTCTTCTTCAGCTGGAAGTTGCTTTGTTCTCTCCCACAGAAGGCTATTGCTGATGGTATCCGGCCAGTGGATGTTGAGTATCTTGCGTAGGCAGCTATTTATAAATACTTGTACTTTCTTGATGGTGGTTGTTGTAGTTCTCCAAGTTTCAGCTCCATACAGTAGAACTGCCTTGACGTTCGTATTGAAGATTCTCACTTTGATATTGGTTGAAAGTTGTTTTGAGTTCCATATGTTCTTCAATTGTAGGAATGCGACCCTTGCTTTGCCGATCCTCGCCTTTACGTCTGCATCTGAACCTCCTTGTTCATCGATGATGCTTCCTAGGTATGTGAAGGACTCTACATCTTCCAGAGTTTCGCCATCAAGAGTGATTGGATTGCTGTTCTGCGTGTTGAATTTGAGGACCTTGGTTTTCCCTTTGTGTATGCTGAGGCCTACTGATGCAGAGACTGCTGCTACACTGGCTGTCTTCATCTGCATCTGTTCGTGTGTACGTGATAGGAGGGCTAGGTCGTCTGCGAAGTCCAAATCGTCTAATTGATTCTGAGTTGTCCATTGTATTCCGTGTTTTCCTTCAGATGTTGAGGTCTTCATAATCCAGTCGACCACCAGAAGAAAGAGGAAGGGAGAGAGTAAACAGCCTTGTCTGACTCCAGTCCTTACTTGGAATGCATCTGTCAGCTGTCCTCCATGCACTACTTTGCACTGTAGTCCGTCGTATGAGTTCCGGATAATGTTGACAATCTTCTCAGGAACTCCGTAGTGTCGAAGAAGTTTCCATAATGTCCTCCTATCTACACTGTCGAATGCCTTTTCATAATCAATGAAGTTGATGTATAGTGATGAGTTCCACTCAACTGATTGTTCGACGATGATCCGTAGTGTTGCAATTTGGTCTGTGCACGACCGATCCTTACGGAATCCAGCTTGTTGATCTCGAAGTTGGGCGTCTACTGCATCCTTCATCCGGTTCAGCAACACTCTGTTGAAGACTTTCCCTGGTATTGACAGTAGTGTAATGCCTCTGTAGTTTTCACATTTGCTCAGATCTCCTTTCTTTGGAATCTTGACGAGGTGTCCTTCTTTCCAGTCCATCGGCACTTGTTCCTCCTCCCAAATCTTTTTGAATAGAAGGTACAGCATGCTTGTGGTTGCTTCGATGTCTGATTTCAGTGCTTCAGCTGGTATGTTGTCGGGTCCTGCTGCTTTCCCGTTCTTGATTTGTCTGACGGCCATTCTAATTTCTTCCGTCGTTGGTGGGTTGACATCTATAGGAAGATCTATGTGTGCTGCTTCGATGTCCGGTGGATTCATTGGAGCCGGCCTATTCAGGAGTTCCTCGAAGTATTCCACCCATCTGTTACGCTGATGTTGAATTTCGGTGATTGGCTTGCCTTCT